GTGACAGTGAAGGAGGACCAGGTGATGCAACAGAACCCGCCCAAGTTTGACAAGATCGAGGACATGGCCATGCTGACCTTCCTGCATGAGCCCGCGGTGCTCTACAACCTCAAGGAGCGCTATGCCTCTTGGATGATCTACGTGAGTGCCAACACCTACCATAGCCCTTGGAGTCTGGTCCCCGATCCCCATACTTCCATCTCCAGTAGCAAAGCATTTCTGTTTTTTACATGGAGGTAATTTTCCTTCCTGATCTTAGTCCCTATTTCTTTGGCTTAATTTTAATACCCTAGAACTGACGTTACTCAGATGCAAGACATTCAGAGATTGTCCTTTCTTTTTCCCCCTCGTCTGTCTCTAACTCTAGAAATTGCCACCCCCTCTCTGACAACCCACTCCTACTTTTCTACCCTCAGACCTACTCTGGCCTCTTCTGTGTCACTGTCAACCCCTACAAGTGGTTGCCAGTGTACAATGCTGAGGTGGTGGCCGCCTATCGGGGCAAGAAGAGGAGCGAGGCCCCGCCTCACATTTTCTCCATCTCTGACAACGCCTATCAGTACATGCTGACAGGTGAGGAATTCAAGTGAAGGGTCTTCCCATAGAGACTCCATTGGAGCAAACATACAAGCTTGGTGCCTGGAGCGAAGCAGGGTGCAGTAGAGGAGGGCAGATGAGAGCATCTTAACAACCTCTCTCCATTTTCCCTTTACAGATAGAGAGAATCAGTCCATCCTGATCACGTGAGTATGCCTGGATACTTTGCAGAATCTCACTGACTCCAGCTCCCCATCAGGGACCCATGTGCATGGTCCTACAGCCTTCGTCTCCTCTCTACCTATACCCTTATCTTTTTTCCCCTCTTTCTGCTTTCTGTCTCTCCCTTATTTTTCCTTTTCCATCTCCTTCATCTACTCTCTGTCATCTTATCTCCTCCGTCACTCAAAAACCACATTATCTATCACTACTTTTTCTTCACCTCTCCATTTTTCTCTTCAGAAACTTTCTGCTTTCTTCTCATGTTTTCCAGCTACTTTCCCCCAGAACATCTTATGCCTGTTTCCTCCAATTTACTTTGCAAGCAAGACTCAACTTTCCCAAATGCAGTACTTCCTAGTCAAAAACACCCTTTCTGTCAGTTACCCTCAAATCCATGTATATTTGAAGACAGCTGTCTGTTTTGAGTGCTCATTACCTAGTAGCTTTCAGCTTTAGGGCTCCCACTCTTAGGCCAGGCATTTCTCTCTTGACCCATAGGCTTGTTGGTCACAAATAGCATTTATTTACTGCCTGATAAGTCCCTGGCTGTCTCTACAGGGGGGAATCTGGGGCAGGAAAAACAGTCAACACCAAGAGAGTCATCCAGTACTTTGCTGTTATCGCTGCCATTGGGGATCGCAGTAAAAAGGACCAGACCCCAGGCAAGGTAAGCGTGCTGTCCTCTGTGGGCCTGCACTGCCAGAAAGGAGGGGGAGGACCTCTCACCTGCCATTCTTTCTTGACTGGTGCAGGGCACCCTGGAGGACCAGATCATTCAAGCCAATCCTGCCCTTGAGGCCTTCGGCAATGCCAAGACTGTCCGGAACGACAATTCCTCCCGCTTTGTGAGTGGTCGCTAACCTTTAGCTTTAGACTTAGGATGGTCCAGGGACCTCAAATTTGGACTTTCCTTCCAACTCATCACCACCCTTCTCTGAATCTCCAGGGGAAATTCATTAGAATCCACTTTGGGGCGACTGGAAAGCTGGCATCTGCAGACATAGAGACCTGTAAGTGCTATGCATCTGCTAGGGCTCATTTTCACTCTTGACCGACTCACTCACAGTCTCTGTCTCTGTCTCTCAGTCTGTATTTATCTACCTCAATATCTCTGTATTTTTTTGTGTGTCTCATTATCTCTAAATCTTTGCCTCTCTAGTTCTCTGTGAATCTGTCTCTGTCTATCTGTAGATGTATGTATTTTTCTCTCTCAGAGATTTGCTCTGGGTCTTTCTCTGCCTCTCTGAACATCTATACATTTCCTCTAAGTCTTTCCTCTGCGTCTCTGCCTCCATCTCTATGCTCTTTGTGTCTGTGTGTGAGTCTCTGTCTTTGTCTCCTCTCCCTCTGCCATTTACTTGTACTTCCATTTCCTTGTACCTAAGTCACAACCTTTTCTTTCTTCTTTCTTCCTTCCTGTTCATAGACCTTCTGGAAAAATCCAGAGTTATCTTCCAGCTGAAAGCAGAAAGAGATTATCATATTTTCTACCAAATCCTGTCTAACAAAAAGCCTGAGCTGCTGGGTGAGTCAGAGCTACCAGCCGAGACCAACTGTCTCCATAGCAACCTGGTCCCCTGTTTTCTCTGGCTTCTGTTGGCATGCCCTAGGTTTATGGTACTGCTGGATTCAGATCTGTGGGATGTGGTGTCAAGTCAAACCCTGCCATGGAGTTTCCTATGAGCCCTCGGCTATGGCAGGAAGCCCCTGAGGCTTGTGTTACATCCTAACATCTTCTCCCCCAAGACATGTTGCTGATCACCAACAACCCCTACGATTATGCATTCATCTCCCAAGGAGAGACCACTGTAGCCTCAATTGATGACTCTGAAGAGCTCATGGCCACTGATGTAAGTGTCTACGGACCCAGCTGAGGGGTGGAGGAAGCTGGTTATGAGGTTAAAATGGGCCAGGTCACTGGCTCAGAAGCAGATGCAGGATTCCCGTTCTCTGTTCAATGTTGCATGGGCCTGTGATTAGGATGTGCTGAGATATGGGATATGATGAAGCATGATTGGCCAGTATTTAGTGTTTAGTTAAACCAGCGAGCTGCAAGCCAAGAACAAAACAATCAAGCACAGGGTAAAGGAGTCATGCAAACACATGGGGCTGGAACAGCCCATAGGAGAAGAATATAGACAGATACAAAAGGCTTAGACAGAGAAGCAAGTATGGAGTCTGGAAGATGATTAATTGCAGGAAACAAAATGGTAAGCTGAGAGCACTGGTCCACAGATATTAGGGCTGAGATCATGTGCACCCCACCGTGCTGTTGTACACTTTAGATTTTGTTTTGGAGTTCCTGCACTAGGCATGGGAGTCCCAGAACCCACACGGATTAAGGAGACAAGTTCTCTCTCCAATTTACCTACATTCATCTGCAATGTTTCTATTTTATGAACTCTATAAATGTGGGACTTGCCTGCAGAGTGCCTTTGATGTGCTGGGCTTCACTCCAGAGGAGAAGAATTCCATTTACAAGCTGACAGGTGCTATCATGCACTTTGGAAATATGAAATTCAAACAGAAGCAGAGAGAAGAGCAGGCTGAGCCAGATGGCACTGAAGGTAAGAGGCAACGATGCTGGGCACAGCTGCTCAGTGACCAAGAGCCAGATCAGCAAGAGAGTCCTTCTTTTACCAACTTTGCTCCTTGCCCTTTCCCTCCAGAGGCCGACAAGTCTGCCTACCTCATGGGGCTGAACTCAGCTGACCTGCTCAAGGGGTTGTGCCACCCTCGGGTGAAAGTGGGCAATGAATATGTCACCAAGGGGCAGAATGTCCAGCAGGTGAGTCTTCTTCAGAAAATAAATGGGGAAGGAATAGTACGATGGGGTGGAAATTTGCTCTTCCAAACTCATCTGTTCCCTTTACATCTGAATCTCTCCTCTACCTTCCAGGTGTCATATGCCATTGGAGCACTGGCCAAGTCAGTGTATGAGAAGATGTTCAACTGGATGGTGACGCGGATCAACGCCACCCTGGAAACCAAGCAGCCTCGCCAGTATTTCATTGGAGTCCTTGACATTGCTGGCTTTGAGATCTTTGATGTGAGTCTGAGGAGCCTTGGGAGTAGGGAGAACAAATAACTCATTCATTTGCCATTCAACTACCATTTACTGAGTGCTAATAGGCAAGACCTAATGGAGATTCATCATGATAGGTGTAGTCCTAATTCTCCCAAGCTGTTTGTGGCACCTCTTCCTGCTTCCTTTACCTTGAGATAGGAAAGGACTAGCTACACCCTGTGCTGGGCAAAGCTCTGGCCTAATCCTATTGCCACTGAAGACCCCTGCCAATCTGACCTGCTTTCTTCACTTCTCCTGCAGTTCAACAGCTTTGAGCAGCTCTGCATCAACTTCACCAATGAGAAGCTGCAGCAGTTCTTTAACCACCACATGTTCGTGCTGGAACAGGAGGAGTACAAGAAGGAGGGCATCGAGTGGGAGTTCATTGACTTTGGCATGGACCTGCAGGCCTGCAT